TCGCCAACTGACTGTTTTATACCAGCCTCATCGATACCGATGATCTCTGACATACCAAGGTATCGGTATGTTTCAGCCTCGGAAAGGATCCTTAAGTTGAAGGGCATAGATAAGTCTATGCCCTCAGAGTTAGCAACCCTTCCCCTTTCAACATGGAGGACCGCACACTTATCCGCTCCAGCTCCATTCCAATAGAATTGCTAAATTCACAAGTGATGTTCAGCAATTCCATAAGATGAGGGCGACTGAAGGCGAATAACTTGAGGTCATCCATATAGAAAAGGTGGGTCACTTTTGTACCTCCTTTCCGAAGCTGAAATCCCCTCCCGGAGCCCTCCAGTAAAGTACTGAGAGGGTTCAAAGAGAGGCAGAACCAGATTGGACTCAGACAGTCGCCCTGGAAGATACCCCTTCTTATCATTATGCCGCTTTCCGCAGCCGTCATCCGCTCACCTAGATGACAAAGGATCGTACTCCACTGCCCCATACACTGCCCGAGGAAGTCTCGAACTGTACAGTCAATCTTGTACAGCTCGAGGACAGAGGACATTATTATTATTATTATTATACCTGATTAAGGGGTAAAATCTTTATGTCTTGTCGTTGTACGTTGTTTTATTTTACCGGTGCTCAATCGGATCATCTTGAAATACATTGATGGCATGGGTGGCATCCGTCTTCTTACCGACATAGCTGTAAAGGATACTTGTGAACCGTAATAACCAATAACATCTGTACATCCCAGCAATTTATTATGTATATCTTTAATTAAGTTGTTGTCCGGCAATTACAACTGCTAGGTACTTCACACGTGATTATAACGCTCAATGTATTTACCCAAGCACTTTATTTACATTACTACGTTGTAAATGCGTTCGCTTCAACAGGCTTGCGACGCGTCATTTCCATTTACAGGCACTTACAGACAGCCGTGAGGTGTTTAAATGCTACCGTTATATTTCTTGTAAGTAATTTTTCAACTTGTGATCTTGATTTATAATGTACTACGTACATTTTATAACTCAATGCTTGTGATATCTTCTAAGATATATTCATTCGAATTAAATGATGTAAGGGGAAATTTCGATTTACATTGAATAAAACCGCGTTTGCCAGTATTCGTTTAATTTATTTTCTAAGCCTTTTTAAAAACAATAATAATAATGATTAAAAACTGTGATTTATACACTCCATTTCTTGGATTACATTATTATGAATTAAGTTTCAATAGTTATAATAATATAATAATTATTAAAAACTGGAATTTGAATGCACTATTTCTACGATTACCTACATTATCATTAGGATTGAACAGTTATAATAACAAACAATAATAATAATGTTTAAAAACTGGAATTTTAACGCTCTATTTCTCGGATTACATTATCATTAAAATTAAAGAGTTATAATGATAACAATAATAATAATGATTAAAAACTTGTATTTGAACGCATTATTTCTTGGATTTTTCTTCTTGGTCGTGTTTTTTTATATTAGGTAGGTAGGTAAGTAGTAGTAGTTGCTGCGGCCCATAGACATCTACATCTATCCTCGATTACGAATCAAAATGCAAATGCGTTGTCACCCGTGAGGACTAAGATGGAATGCCTCGTTTCCAGTAAAAAGGGTCTCCGGTTTCTACACTCACCATATGAAACACAGCAGCGTTAAGCTACTATTTCACGCTGGTATTCTGTGAGACGCGGTCCTTCCCCGGTCGAGTTGACCCATTCATGCTACAACTATACTTCTAATATAATTGCAGTATGGCTCTACCACGTAAGAGCTGTGGTAGCTCAGTGGTTAACGCTCGCTGTAAATATAACAGAACGCGAGTAACCCGGGTTCGATCCACGCCGGCACCAATGAAATTGTTAATTGCAATTTTAAGTGCTGATTTACCACGTGCTCGGCGGTGAAGGAAAACATCGTGAGGAAACCTGCATGTCTGAGGAATAAGAAAAAAAATATTTCGAAGACATGTGAAGTTCGTCAACACGCATTTGGGCAGCGCGGCGGACACTTCCTTGCCCTAAACCCTCTCAGAAATGAGGGGAGGCCTGAACCCAGCAGTGGGACGTATATAGGTTGTAACTTTACTTTACTTTTATGGCTCTACCACGTATAAAACGTGTTCTTCGTGACTGAAGGTCTGGAGATTGGTGTTTCTTCATTCTGTCCGGCCCTCGGCTTTCGCATTGCGGTCGTAAGTGAAAGACCAGTAAGTGATTTGACCTGGTCCGACTAGTGGCTAAAAGATCAGCCGCGTGGCCTTTGACCCTCATCTTTCCCGTAGGAAAGATGAGGGTCAAAGGCCACCATTTTGATAGTCGTAACTATAATGTAACTATAATAAGTCTATCCAAGTTAAGCAGGCGTCGGGCATTGCTACCTGGTAACAATTCGTCAGATGATTTCCTTGTGCAGTTAACTCATTCTTATATACCTACCTTCTTGTGTTTATTTTACTCACGTTATTTTAATAACTATATAAAATAACTTTGAAATTATCAAAATACGTAAAATAAAGTATGTATTTTTACTTAACTTATTGTTCTTATAAAGTATAAAGTAAGTTTGCCCGCAATAACGTACAATACTTTATTATAAAGTAGGTACAGGTGGCCTTAACTTGTGACTTTACCTGTAGTTAAATTAGTTTTCACCGTTCCTTTCACCTTTATTGCTTTCACGCAACGCGACCTGCCTTAAACGGGCTTAAGATAATTTAAAAAGTAACTATTAAAATGAAATATACTCGTATTTGCTTTCCTGATCAAAACTTCTGACCGATGAAAACAGCCAAAAGTTTTTATGACTAAAGCGTTTGGCCAAAAGTACTTTTGCATGAAATAGAGGTTCTAACTGAAAAATATCAGTATAAACTAGTTTTGACCAAGACTGATGGTAAAATTACTTTTGACGAGAAGTTTTTACCAAAAAAATTGTTAGATGTTTTACAAAACGTTTATTGCCAATCAATTTTAGAAAAAACTAGTTTTTTTTAGGATAAATTTGTAGTTTTGACTAGAGCCTGTAGTCAAAACCAGTTTGTTACCGGCCAATCCCAATTTTAGGACCAATTAGTTTTTCCTAGACTAAACTAGTTTTGCTAATCTCAACTAGAGAGGCATGTGGTTCAGTGACACAGCGCTGAGTTGGTTGAGCAGCGACACTGAAGGACGCGGGTTTGCGGGTTTTCAGCCTATTCGATTCGTTGGCCTGTCATTTACTCTTATCCTTCTGAGAATTTCCTAGTTATGGATTTTATCACGCGGAGGAACTTGTTGATTAGCCCTTTCCATAGTTCATTGACAAGAAAATATTCCTCGGTGTCCGCCCCAGATTTCGATGATACTGAGATATGTTGTTCTTTCTTGAAATCTAAGAGAATGTAGTATTTACTAATAATGTAGAATCTAAGAATGTAATATCTAAGAGAATGTAGTACTACTATATAGGTGGTAGGACTCTTTTTCTGACTACTAGTCCGTTTGGATAGGCCCTCTTTCCTATTTCTACCGCCAAAAAAATTGCACGTACTGCTGTCTTGCGGTACGAAGGGCATAGAGTATTTACAGGCTGTGAGGCATTCCACTTTAGATTAGGTTAGGTTCCACTTATCGGTGATACCGCATCAAAAGAAATGAAACTAAGCGCTTTAGGTTTAAAAAAAAAACTAGAATTTTTTTTTGGTCTTATACTTGTACAAAAATAATTAATAGAATAGCACAAGAGTAAATAATTCATAGAACGTGGGGGTATATATATAATACGATCATCCGGTTAATATGATCATTTCTTATAACTCAAAAACTACAGCCTAGTTTGCATGGATGGCTCTGTGATACAATAGCTCTTAAAATCTGTCAGTCAAATAAAAAAAGGGTCAGAAGGGCGCTGCTTTATCGACGCCATTTTGGCAGTTGACATTATAGTAAATATTTTAGTCGATTATAGTATTGTGTAGTGTGGTTGGTTTTTTTTTGTTGATTTTTCAGTGTTCTTAATTATTATCAAAGCTTTTTTGCTATTTTTTTTCTTAATATAATAGATATAGTGTTTTTGTATATGTCCACCTTCCTAGTTTTGGTTTTATAGGGCGGCAAGGCTTAAGATGACTACATTACCCTCACGTACCTTAATTCTAAAATAATAAATAGAACAAGAATAAGTAGGATTGAAATAATAAAACTTTAAAAAAATATTATCTCCTACATCCGCTATCGATTTTAACGAAGCCAACGGTGATATTAAGGCAGTATTAATAGAGAAATGTTTTTTGGGATTTTTCTGAGTATATATATTTTACGTGGTAGAGCCATGCTGCAGTTATATTAGGTATAGTTGTAGCATGAATGGGTCGGCTCGACCGGGGAAGGACCGCGCTCTCACAGAATACCAGCGTAAAATAGTAGCGTTTCGTATGGTGAGTGTAGAGACCCGGAGACCCTTTTTACTGGTAACGAGGCATTCCATCTTAGTCCTCACGGGTGACAACGCATCTGCATTTTGATTTGTAATAGAGGATAGATGTAGATGTCTATGGGCCGCAGCAACCACTTACCATCAGGTGGACAGTGTGCTCGTTTGTCACCCTATCCTATAAAAAAATATATCACACCCTCTAAATATAATTTTGACAACCAGGAAAATATCAATGGCTTTATTAGTGGATTTTTATTTCACGAAGAAAGATTTTTAAATTATTAGCAGTTAGGGCATGTTAGGACATTCTTGACAGTGTGTTAGGTTACAATTACAATTTATGTAAATAATATAAGTTCTAACACAAGTTCGCAATAAAAAGGTCGTGGGTTCGAATCCGCCATTCGACTACTATCGTGAACCACCACGTGCTATCACCTAACACCACATAAAAAATAATATCTAACACAAGCATTTTAAGCTTACCAGGAGAAGTTGAAAGGAATATTAGTAATGACAATAGCATTGCTAGTATTTTGTAAAGTAAAAGTAAAGTAAAGTATATTTAACAGGACGGCTTCGTGCTTGTGGGTTCTGTGGCTGGCCAGCGGTATTGGTCCGCAATGCTGACGCTAGATGCCCGAATAACTTGCGGCTGTTGGACTCCAGATGACAGTCAAGTATACCTCGGCACTGCATCCGCGCAGCTCGTCGTTATGGACGTGCATGGTGCTATGGTTTCACAGGTGAGTGCCGTCGTAGTCTAGGCCATATGACTTGATAAAATAAGTTTTTCTGGTTGATAGGACTTCTATTCTGAGTAGGAGTCGATCTCACTTTGTACCCTCTACTATGTGAATAAATTTTTGAGATCAATTTTGTAGGGCAAAGACATAGTATATTTACAGGCTGTGAGGCATTTCCTATCATATACTGGATGACCTTTTTACTAACTGGAAAAAAATGGGGGAAAAAAAAGAAAATGTGAACGGATTAGAAGCTTATTGCACTGATATTTTATAAAAAATTAAAACAAAAATTTTGAATTAAATTAATTAATCAATTAAAACCTATCGAAATTCAAATCATATCCACCCTACTTTACGAACGGCAGTAAAAAAAAATTAGTAGGTATCTTTGACCTTGTCACTTCGCAGGGTCACAGGCTAGGGTGGATGTGATTTGAATTTCGATAAATTTTAATTTATTTATTTGTTTATTCAATTTTTTGTTTTTATTTTTTCAAAATATCAGGGCCATAGGCTTCTACTCCATTCACATGTTACACCCTATTTTTTCTAGACGGTAGAAAAGGTCATCCAGTATATGTGCATATTTATTCAGAGCTTAACTGAATAAATATGCACATATACTGGATACTTATATGAAAATAAAAGGTTTAATTTCACCTGTTACGTGCGTACTGTACTGCTATTTACTCGTAAAAAGAGTTTTATAACTTTTGAATTTGAGTTTTGGTTTTGTTTACATTTCTGCATTAAGTGCCTTGTTCATCGTGTTAAGTACGAATTGTTACTGCAAATAAACTGATAATACCAGATCTAAACGACGCTCAACTTACTAGGGCTGCTACTTTAATTGAAACTGGGCATACCTACAAACATGTGGCCCAAACATTACGAGTATCAAAATCCGAGGTACCTTTATCGAGTTGTCAAGAGCTATTGGCAGACCGAACAGTATACGAGACCCGCAGGACAGGGACGAAAATGGAAAATTGTGACCACGTATGACCGGTTCATCGTTACCAGCGTGCTTAGAAACCGGACATTAACTTCTTCTGAGGTGAGAACGAAGTTTCAAAAGATCGAAGAAAGCACAGAAACTGTGAGAAAAAGATTGAAATCAGCCGGAATAAATTTACACTTTCCCGCCAAAGGCCCCTTCCTTGCTACATGCCATCAAGTAGCTCAAGTAATTTTGCTCGTACTCATGAAAATTAGACGGAAACGGAAACGCATTACAGGAAGATTCGATCGCAATCTCTCAAGATTTTATTGATAACTTGATTAGGAATATGTCAAGGAGACTGAGAGCAGTTCGAAGAGCTAGAGGGGGTAGCACTTAGTACTAATTACAGCCCACGTAATTTCTAAGCATTTACTTACCTAGCCTTTCTTAAGCAGTTATGAAAAAATGAATAGAAAGTTAAGTACAAAAATGTTTCTTTCCTTTAAAATTTTTCTTATTTTCTTCATTTGGTTAATTTTTGTCATTTGAGCGTTTGTTTCTTTGACGTTTGCAATAATTAGTTGACGAATAATAAGCAAAATCCAAATCAATAAACTTAAATGTCACAAATATCCATAATATTTTTTGTTTTATGCACCCTTTTTTGTGTTCCTCTAAATTTGTCCATGAGTACCTAGTAAAAGAGGATGCCTTGAGTGACCGATTCATCTATCAACACACAGCCCAAACCACTAAACGTAGAAATTTGAAATGTTACAGTAGCTACCCTTTATAACGTGGGCATCCACTAAAAATATTTTTGAAAATCCAACCCCTAAGAGGTAACATAAATAGGTTGTAACAGTTTGTACAATTTATTTTATTTTACGAAGCAATTGACTCAAAACTTACTGAACGTAGGTACTCTATAAATAGAACGTATGTAGCGATTTCTCAAAACAATTTTGAACGGTAGAGCCAGAGAATCTTCAAATTTGTATTGTTTTTTTTTTATTTGAAAACTGATGTAAATATTCTTGAATTCAAATAATGAATTATCTATGTTTTTCAATAATTTACTTATTAAATTTTTAAAACAAGGGAGCAAATTTTGTATTAAAAATATTGTATTAATACGCACTGCATAAACAGGCAAAGAAGCATGAAATAGGAACAATACTAGCTTGTACGTATTAAGGATTTTGATTTAAAACTAAAAAATATGTGTTTTAGGATTTTTGGAAATATTAGGTCTTTATCTATGAAATTGTCGTTCTGCTGTACTGGCCATTTCAAATCGAAATAATTTTTGTATGGCTAAGAATTCAGTCACACAAAATTAGTCATTTGTTTATTGATTAGCGTTATGTTTTCAATTTTAATTGCATTTGAATCTTTTTTGTCATCATAGATGCGTTAAAAATTCGAGTAATTGGGGAATATGAGTACCGTCGTGGCAGCAACGCATCACACAACATCAACGATGTTTACGGAGCGAATACTACAAACGAACGCACTACCTTATTTTGCCAGCTTCCGTTCGGGAAATAATCGACCCGAAAAATGAACCCCATGGGCGTCCGAAAACTTAGATCGACAAGGACTAATTAAAGGGGATTGTGGAAGCTGATGATACTCAATCTACGACTGAATTAGCAGCAGAATTTTGATATAAGCATCAAAACAATATTGGTCTATTTGCGTCAAATGGGCAATGTAAAAAAGCTTGACAAATGGATGCTCACTGAACCCAATGATAGTCGCGCGGAGTACGCGTCGAGACGTGCCTTGCACTGATCAATGGGCACACAAACCAAAAAAAATTGAACCGCATTGTTACCTGCAATGAAAAATGGATTCTGTTTGACAATGGCAAGCGCTCATCAAGTTGGTTGGATCCTGGTTCAGCACCTAAACAATGCCCTAAATGATTACTTACCCCTATAAAAGTCATGGTCAATGTTTGGTGGTCTAGCGCCGGTGTGATTCATCACAACTTCTTACCAAACGGGATGAGCATTACTGCAGATGTGTACTGTGACCACATACTGCACAACAGACAGTCTCCAAGTTAAAAGAGCTGGAGTTGGAAGCTCTCCGTTATCCGCCATCAGACCTTGCGCCTACACACTTCTACTTTTCTAAAATTTGGATACCTTTTTGACGGGAAAAAAATTCAACACCCGAGAGGTAGTACACACCTTTGAAGATTTTTTTGCCTCTCGTCCAGCTGGGCATCAATAAACTACCATTGGGTTGGCAAAGATGCATCGATTGCATGAGTGATTAATTCGATTAATAGAAAAAAAAAACTATTATGTGTAAATATATATATATATATATATATATATATATATATATATATATATATATATATATATATATATATATAATAGGTGGATATGATTTGAATTCCGATAGGTGTTTTGCCTTCTACTCCGTTCACATGTTACATCCTACTTTTTCCAGATGGTAAAAAAGGTCATCCAGTATATGTTATGTTACGTGTAAATGTAAACTTTCAAAATTAAACAAATAAATTCACTTTCTTTATTGCATTGTAAAATGCTTCCGACCCGCTCAGTCTGTTCTGAATTGTACGTTACTTTATGCGTTGAGCTGACAAAAATCTACAAATTACCTTTTACCAGGTCCAGCTTGTCGCTGAGGGAGGTATAACAGCGATGGCGTGGTCTTGCGAGAAGTTCAAAATGGAAGAAGGTGAAGAAGGGAATGAGACCACCAACGGTCATGTTCTCGCTGTGGCACTGGGTAACGGGGAAATAGTGTTTTTGCATGGACACGATGATGTGAGCCCTGTACGCGTGTGCACTGGCCTGAGAGGAAACACGCTGGCTATGGAGTGGGCGAATTCCCGCGAACTGTTAGCTGTCGCGGGGACGTTAACCGCAGGTAAGATATATATATTATCTGTATTTATATTCAGTGACAATGTTCTCCTACCCAATTTATGAATACTGCGAGAAGCTACGCTGTAAAATATATTAAAGTGTTAGTATTCAAAAAACAAAGGCAGACAAGGCTTGTGTTAACGTTGCTTTATAACATGCAGTGTAAAACAAAAGGATTAACAAATAGTAAAATTAAAAATTTTGTGCAATCGATTTCAATATAAATAAAATGAGAACATCATAAATGTAGTCGAAGTCAATTAAATACGCATTATTAAGTATAACTCAAAAACTACTGGCCAGATCTTTATTAAATTTATATGGCATCACATGAGAAGAACCATCTTTCAAATAAAGAAATCAAAATCGTTTCACCTAGAAAAAAGTTCTGAGGTAATGGACATAAAAAATACGGTCGAATTGAGAACCTCCTCCTTTTTTGTAGTCGGTTGAGAAGCATTTAATCATGTTGTGGTTTTGCACCATTATTATTTTTAAGCCTTGTTTGATATACATCATATTGTTTATTAATTAGCATATATCAACCTGCTCACCTACGATTACAAAACAATAATAAAATTACGAACGATTTCGCTTTAGTAAACTTTTTATGCGCAGGTAGGTTTTGCTCTATCAAAGCTTCATCGGCAACTTGAAAGCACCGCTTTTAAATTTAAACTTCTAGAACCCTTATCTTAGCTAGATCAGCGTTTTATAAGAAATTAATCCTTAGTATTCATACTCTACGGCTTTTAATGTTTTCTGGTATTAATATTCCCTCAGATAGTCTAGCGAGGCGCATAAATAGAGGATTTAAAACCCCTCGCAACGGCATCAACGCCTTTTACTTTATAAAATGTTTGGGTACCTAGGTGTATGTCTAAAATAAGGGGAAAGGTTTGAATCGAAAAGTTCGTATTGCACATCTTTGGCTGGGGCAGTATTTTTTACGCAACAAATTAAATTTAAGAGACTATTATAAGGAAATACTTTTGATAATTGGGAATACATGATCCGTAGGTATTGCAGAAGATTATCGAAGTCAGTAAGGAAAATCAAAAGTTCAAAAGTTATCGTATCGTAATCTATCAGAGCATTGCCAGCAAATAATCGATAGCGAAGTAGATTTATTATGCATAAGAATTTTTACTTATGTAATAAAGGATATTTTCATTATATAGAAATAGGTACATAATATATTTTTCTAACCACATGATTTATGTGACCAACCTAATAAAATCAATGCAGTGTTAACAATAAGGGGACTAATGGATTTTTGTATGAATTTTTCTGTTTTTTTTTATAGGATAGGGTGACAAATGAGCACACAGTACTGGTACGTGGTTGTTGTGGCCCATAGACATCTACATCTATCCTCCTCACGGGTGACAACGCATCTGCATTTTAACGAATTAAAATACAGATGCGTTATCGCCCGTGAGGACTAATATGGAATGCCTCATTTCCAGTAAAAGAATCTCTGGTTCTCTACACTCACTATACGAAACACAGCAGCATTTAGCTACTATTTTACGCTGGTATTCTGTGAGAGCGTGGTCCTTCCGCCCTAGCCAACCCATTCGTGCCACAACTATTACTACTAATTTAAGGTGAAGGGGGCGCCAAAGCAGATTTTTCACGCTTTATAGGTGCGCAAAAAAGCAATTTTTTGTCATTAAAAACTACATATTCACATTTTTTTTCAAATTCATTACGAAAGTTTAAGATTTTTCTTAGAGAGTTATGGTGGCCAAAACACAATTGACACATTTTGGGCTCGATAGAAAAAGATAGTAGTTTCCTCAAAATCTACAATTTTAGGTACGTTACCACTAAGTGAAAAAGCAGTTTCATTCGAATGTAATGAAATTAATTTAATTAAATTCAGACTATGTGTTCACCAGTAAATGCGTGAGTGAATTATGGATTTATTTTTCAATAAAAGGCTATTTTAAAAAGAAATATCGAATAAATATTGTGCGATTAAATAGCGCGCGGGCCGACCAAACCGAACAGACCCGTCAGTCGTCCATAGCGCGTCATAGAGAGCTATGTACAACTTTGACGAGTTTTCGCTCCTTATCAAGCATCTGATAAATTAACGCCTAAAGTTTATATTATAACATAATAGTTAACATAAATTCAGTAATTAAAGGAACTGAAATGGTGAACCGAATATGTTTTATTTATTTAATTATGTAAGTAAATATCTTATGAATTTTATTATATATTTTTATCTATTAAGAATTTTAGTGCCTTAGAAGACAGTTCTACTATTCAGCTATTTATAAATACACTTTTTTCTATAGTTTAAACATCGTGTAACTAACTATATTTTTACTCAGTCACGCTACAGACCTGTAAATAACATGGTGACCAAGGCGAGGTCGGTTTTTCAATCTGTCCGAAGAATTTACGAGCATCGCTGGTAGACTCGTAAATTCAATGAAAGTACGTTTTATGTTTTGGGAGCGAATGCGTTGTCAACTCCAATATCGTGACGCTAAAGTGTACCTACATCGTATATTTCATACACATAACATTCAACGAGAACGTAAATATCTTTAGATAACTTTGAATAAAAAAGGCAGTCTCGACAATACTAGTACACTACACAGGCCGTTGTGTACGTCACGAGCATGTTGAGGACATCGGTGACGAGAATCCATAAGTTTTTCCACTACCAAAAATCGCTCAACGCCATTGATTTATATTGTGTTGTGTAACTCAATGCTCAACGCGGCTAAAGAAGTTTTAACTTCAAACAACAAGTGGACATGTTAATTCCGGACAATTTATATTACATTAAATTTTAAAAATAGTAAGGCAAATTTTTCTAGATTCGAACAACGTGATAAATTCATAAACGCAGACGAATCGCATCTCAGATGTTTTTTCCTGTCGTCGTCAGTCCGATTATCTTCGAGACTTCGATAGGGTAAAAAAACTGTTTTTACAGATTTTATTGAGTTTAATTTTAAATTTTTCATTTCCTAATTTCGGAAGCTTTACAGAACCCATATTCATGGTCATGGTCTTTATTAGGGAATGCAAAACCGGCCCAAATTAAAACCCGGTTTTTTTTTCGGATTTCTTATAAAAAACCCGGTTTTCGGTGAAACCGGTTTGAAAGTAAGATTTTCTATTCTTTCTATAAATTTATCTTTTCAATTATTACATAGATACGTACACCTATTAAAAGGAAATACAATTTCAAAACTTCAATGAAAGTGCAGAAATTTATTAAAGAAAAAGTTTAATGAAAGGTTTCTATATTTAATATTATTATTAGTTCTACTCTCATTTAAAAACGACACAACAACCGGTCAAATTCAATCTTTGCAAATATATTGACAAGACGAATGAACATCAATGTCTGTTGTTTGTTTTCATCGGTAACGGTATCGTAAACTTAAACAAAACAAAATAAAAGGCTATAATTAGGTTAGTATAAAAAAGTTTCAACTCGCGCTTATTTTGTTCCGTTTAATTTTAGTACTTTGAAAATTGAAAACCAATTACAGACATTGATTTGTCTTCTCAATATATCTGCATAGTTGAATCTGATCTAACACATTACATTTATCTGCGGCCCTTAAACGTTTTTAGTAAGAATGAAATTTAAAAAAAAAATTGTAAAAAATTTGTAAAAAAAAAATTTAAATGAAATCTTAAGAAAAGTTAAGCATGAAGACCGAAGAGGGGAATCATTAAGACCGTATTTTGCTGCAGAAATAATCAGCTGTAAGCAAAGCAAAATGCACGTTCTGATTCGACACTTGTGGGCTTGATCGTGATGAGAGCTTTGTATGCCTTTGCTAAAAAATTTCCGCGTCCACCGCCATTCTCGTGTAATACTATATCACATAACACGATTTTCTCGGTTTTCAAAATTTAGCGCAGATAAAGATGGTTTAGTACAGCCCTTTTTTTGGTTTCAATGAATGCAAAAGCTCGTCTTTGAAACTTTTGAAAATAGGATCAGAAGAAGCAGTGTTTAAACCTCTGATATTTTGCTAAAGTAGTACTGTCGTCATCGTCAGTGAACATTTTCGATACGACAGATTTTATAAAATTTTCTTGACTGACTGATTTGATTGAAATTTGATGACATTGACAGTGATTCTATGTTTCAAAAACCAACCGCTTTTGAAACATAGAATCACTGTCAATGTCATCGAAAAATACTTAAGTGTCGTCTAAATATTTCAGAACACCTTGTATTAAAAGGTATCTCTCATCTACTCTCTTTCGTAAAGCTATCCGCAGTTCAAAACTCAGACTGCCTTAAATGCACACAGTTTTCTGAACATGTATTTTAACGCAGTATCAGCTGTAAGAAGAGTTGCGTCTTCTAAGCACGAGACTTCGACAACTCCTTTTACTATATCGAGTGCTTCTTTTTATCGATCTACAGAGGTAATTTCATCGTCTGTGAAATGAATATCCGATTTTAAGTCCAGCGACGCTTTCTGTATACACTCTGTATACGTCTGTTTGTAGAGTACTAAAAATCTGTCAACAATATCTTATAACGAATTTAATCTCGTTTTACGCCAAAACCACACATATTTCATGGCCAAACTTCTATTTTACATACTTTTGTAGCATGTCATCATTTTTAGTTGCAGATTTTCTAAAATAATTTACAACCGTCAAAATTTTTGAATCAAGTCTTTGTATTATTGATAAGAATTACTGGAACTGGATCTTTGTCTATTTTTTGTCTTAACTGATACACCGTCTTCTTCGTAATCACTATCAGAGTTGGATGGATTATCATTTTCTACTTAATGTTTGTAGAGTACATTCAATACTGACAATTGTATGCCATGCGCATAACATAGTTATAGTTCAGTTAGTGATATATGGGTAAACGTTTTCCCATCCTTACCATTACGGCAGTCCCGTCAGTAGAAACGCCTGCAATATCATCTTTGAAAGGCAAATCGAACTCATGCAATCGTTTCTCTAAAATATTAGCACACTTTTTGACGTGGTGGATCCCTCCAATCGTGCAAGTCCCAAGCTAATGTGATGCTTATTATTTAAGTCAGATGAATGCACATTTAAGTTCAGGTAAATAATAAAAACCCGAAAAACCGGAAATGTGACAAAATAACCGGGTTTTTTAAATAATTCAAATATACCGAAAAACCGTTTTTACGGTTTTCGGGTAACCCGGTTTGCATTCCCTAGTCTTTATGAACATGAGTATGTCCAACACCTGTTCAAGTCCTCGATTTGTAAAAATATGTCGAAATTTACTAAATTGTAAATATTTTATTTCAGCAAAGGTGACAAAAATCAAATTAAGCAACCCAATGGCAAAAGCAGGATGTATTAAGATGTTCTAAATGGCTGGTCTTATTAATTGGGACTTTTTCTCCTTACCACACGACGCGTTGTGCAAAATTCTAAGGCACTGCATTTACACATTCGTGTTTGCTTCTCTTAATGTACTTATTCGTATTAGGCAAAATATACGTCGAATTTTTAAGTAGCTTAAGCCGATACGAGCGACGATTGATAACGTACATTTTAGAGACGTGACTGGCATGAGCAAGTCTTTATAATAATTTCCGTATGTTGTATAAAAATTAAAAAAAAAAAAGACAAATAGATTAAGTAACAAACTAACAATAACAGTGATGGCTATTTTATTGTCTTTTATGATAAGTCCTAGTTTTGAATAAATGATTCTATCGCGTTTATTTAACTGATTTTACTTATTTTTAATAAAAAATGCCTGCTGTACTACCATATGTCAGAGGAGTCACAGACAATGTTGGCTACATCTTGAAGCGAGCTTCCATTAAAACATACTACAAGCCGCCGAAGAAGATTATTCAATTTTTACCATCCGTCAAGTGTAATATCCCTCTACAAGATGCAGGAGTGTACAAGTTAGATTATGAATGTGGTCTCTCTTACATAGGTCAAACAAAAAGATCCATAAAAACCCGCGTGAAAGAACATATAGCTGACGTGAAGCACCGACGCTCCGGGAAGTCTGCAGTCTGTGAACATGTTCAAGATCGTCCCCACCATTACATCAGACTTGATAAACCACAAATCCCTGGCAAAAGAACACCGATTCCTATCAAGTTCGAGGCTGTTGAAATTAAAAAAACATCCTAATTTCAATAGAGAAGATGTTTGAATGCTGCCATCTGCTTGGGATCCTATAATTAACGAAATTAAACCCAAACCCAAGCATACCACTGCAAGACTTCAAGATAGTGTAAGTTCGTTTTGCGTAAATCGGACCAAAAATTAATATTCAAAAACTGAAGGTAGCCGGGCTAACAATGACATTGGGACGTCAAACATCTCAGTCCCCCCGTAACCATGGGTGCTGTAAAGCACCCGAAACGTCGGGAATTAAAAATAAGTAAAATCAGTTAAATAAACGCGATAGAATCCGTAAATTTAGTTTTATTCAATGTGCACTGTTCGCGTAAATTTAAGAAATAATTAAGTCCTAGTTTTGTCATGTACATGTTTATACTTATTTCCAGAGAACAACGAGTCGGACGACACCCCTCCATTCAAAAATTTTGTTAAATTCTACTCGGACAACGGAGCACTTATTTACACCGTCCCCATCCCCTACTCGCAGGTGAATATTTTATCTATTTATTCTTAGGTTCACACTTGAATAAAACTCATAACGATTTTGTATCCCAAACTACAAGAACCACAGCTCTTATTTAATTTCAATACACTTTATTTTCAGAACCAAGTGTTTACTTGGCCTTATTGCAAAAGGTAGCTTATTAGTCTCAGGTATAACATATAATCTTTTTCGCGAAAGAAGACCCGTTGAAATAAGTGAAGCGGATCAATATTTAAAGTACACACAAGACAGTAAATTCCAAATTTCACGGGGATTGGCGTGCGTGCGTGCGTGCGTGCGTGCGTGCGTGCGTGCGTGCGTGCGTGCGTGCGTGCGTGCGTGCGTGCGTGAGTGCTTGCGTGCTTGCGTGCGTGCGTGTGTGTGTGTGTGTGCGTCGCGTGCGTGAGTGCGTGCGTGCGTGTGTGCGTGCGTGCGTGTTTGCTTGCGTGCGTGCGGGCTGGCGTGCGTGTGTGCGTGCGTGCGTGCGTGCGTGCGTGCGTGAGTGTGTGCGTGCGTGCGTGCGTGCGTGCGTGCGCGTATGTGCGTGCGTGCGTGCGTGCGTGCGTGCGTGCGTGAGTGCGTGCGTGCATGCGTGCGTACTTGCGTGCGTGCATGCGTGCGTGCGTGCGTGCGAGCGTGCGTGCGTGCGTGCGTGCGTGCGTGCGTGCGTGCGTGCTTGCGTGCGTGCGTGCGGGCTGGCGTGCGTGTGCGTGCGTGCGTGCGTGCGTGTGTGTGTGAGTGAGTGTGTGCGTGCGTGCGTGCGTGCGTGCGTGCGTGCGTGCGTGCGTGCGTGCGTGCGTATGTGCGTGCGTGCGTGCGTGCGTGCGTGCGTGCGTGAGTGCGTGCATGCGTGCGTACTTGCGTGCATGCATGCGTGCGTGCGTGCGTGCGAGCTTGCGTGCGTGCGTGCGTGCGTGCGTGGGTGCGTGCGTGCGTGCTTGCGTGCGTGCGTGCGTGCGTGCGTGCGTGCGTGCGTGCGTGCGTGCGTGCGTCGTGCGTGCGTGCGTGCGTGCTGCGTGCGTGCGTGCGTGCGTGCGTGCGTGCGTGCGTGCGTGCGTGCGTGCGTGCGTGCGTGCGTGCGTGCGTGCGTATGTGCGTGCGTGCGTGCGTGCGTGCGTGCGTATGTGCGTGCGTGCGTGCGTGCGTGCGTGCGTGCGTGCGTGCGTGCGTGCGTGCGTGCGTGCGTGCGTGCGTGTGTGTGTGTGTATGTGTGGACTTAGGTTCTTCTTTTTAACCCCCGACGAAAAAGTGCGGTGTTATAATATATAAGTTTGACCGCTACGTGTGTCTGTTGCCACCACATAAATCGTAACAATAAGGGCACCGTGGTAGCTCTCAAACGGGTGAATCCATTTGGGTAAGGTTTTTTTATTTATTTAAAAACAGGTTTTCTAGCCGTTTAGACATGTTTTATCAAAATTGGTTCAGCCGTTTAAAAATCATAAGCTTTTTTGTTTCAGGGGTTTTTAAAATTTTCAATGTAAGTTATTATAGAAGAGCTCTTCCAACTCTCTTCTTAAACCATAGTTCAGCCGAAAGACTTTATCTGATTGACTTATCTGAATAACTTTATCATGAAACCGCTTTTTCTAATAAGACGAAATATATTCCTATATGAAAATTTCTACTTAGCCTTTTAAAACGGTTTACATCTAAGGAACTGTAAATTTTTGATGGTAGCTATTTCAAAATTATGTTTTAGGTATCTATAAAAATACCTAGTATCTATTACTTTTCTTTAAGGTATATCACGAATATACCTAATAAAACCCTACATAAAATTTGCAGTACGTAGACACATTCTGCTTTCGTTAGAGAGTAAGTATTTATTTTATTACAGTTAGCCAGTAAAAATTAATAATAGCTCTTATTGAATACTTTCGATTAAAATACAACGAACAGAGTATTTAGCGCTTAGGATTTTTAACCAATCCTCTAAAGACCTAGTGCTATTTTGCAGCGGAACCCTTACACGTGGAACACACACTTGGCCTACTTTGCCTTTTTATTTCCCTGTACAAAACTCTAATTAGTACTAAGCGCAATTCAAGTATGTCTTTACTTGGATTTCCATAGAACTGTTTTTGAATAATTCCGAGTTAAGTGAGTGTAGAGATGCAGCTAAAAATCGTGTACCGTTAGAATGGAAAGAAATCGGAGAAAAGCTATTCCCAGTGATGTAAGAAAATATATTTAATGTATTCTATGCTAAGCAGACCAGCGTTAGTTTCATTCTATTACTGTAATTATGTGTTTCTAATTACGCATTGCATATATTATATCTGTCAAATGATCGCTTAGTTATAACGTTTTCACGATTCAAATTGTGGTTAATAATAATATATATACATTTCTAATAAAAACAGTATTTATAAATACCTTTTTTTATGAACGAAAAAATATTTTGTTTCACTGCACAGCTAAACATACTTAGGTAATATTTTATTCAATAACAATATGTTGGCTAACGGTACCTGTTGTTACGCACATAAGCACGCGTGTACACGAGAAATTATAAGGCTCCTCTACACGAGGGGCCATCGCGATACACACTCATCATAGATTATATTACACAAAGAAGCAGTATTGACTGAAAGCATTAATTTCCTTGTTGCTAAGCCAATACAACGCCAGAAGAATAAGAAAATACCGCCAAATAACGTCATTTCTGCAATCAATCTTTTTTTTTTTAATAAAAATCAAACATCTTTTTTGCGATGATCGTGTAGTGGCGGTGTGTAAATTACCACTGTGAGTATCTTAAGAAGCGACAGAGGGGGATAAACAGGAGACGGACAACAGTCTGATAACAAACTTGAAAAAACAGCGGTTGCCAAACTGCAGAGCGTTGCAAGGAGGGAGGCCTATATTCAGCAGTGCATCTATTAATTTTTTATTTTCAATTCTATTAAAAATAATTGTATTAAAAATTTTGAAATTAATAATTTAATTTCTATTTTAATTAATTCCTCCATATTAATAAAAATAGGATCAACCCCCTTTCATTTTTGATTTCCTAATATTATTGAAGGTCTATCTTGATTTAATTGTTTAATTTTAATAACATGACAAAAAAATTTCCCCAATAATTTTATTATCTTATTATATTAACTATAATTTTTAATAATTATTATAATTTTTAATGTTATTGTAGGAACATGCCTTTGATATGCTGTAACGGCCGTCGGCTGATTGTTTATTTCCATAGAGTTATCCATAATATTTCTCATGAAAAACTGCGTCGGGCAGAGTCAGTTGAGTTTAATAAATAGAATTTTTCATCAATACCTACTTAAGTTGTATCTGTAAAACGAATTTGAACACATTTTTTATAGTTATACCTAATACTACTAGAGTCTGTAAGTTAGCAAAGCCAAAGAACATTTTCTATTATCTGTATTTGGACATTAAAACAATTGAGCATTTATATGAAACGACGACATATTTATGTATACATATAACACATGGACACATTGCAGGCGCGCGTGACAGCTCTGACGTGGGGTCACGCGGCCCGGCGCTTGTTCGTGGGGGTCGGCGGAGCGGTGTGCACGGCACGTGTCTGGCGGGTGGTGGCGCCCCTACAACTGCTGGCGCGGGTACGCGCCGCGCAGGCCCTGCGGGAGCCGCGCCTCGCAGTCAAGCTGCCTCTGCCACCTCGGCTACAACCCGCGCTTGCTAGCCTCTTCGCGCACACTATTCGGGTATCAGTTGTAACTTATAAACCTATCAAATTAAAATAATACCTCTTAATTATAAAAAAAATATCACAACCTCCCCCTTTCCAAATGCTCATGATTATATTTGTAACAGGAACAAAGTATTTTGACGTGGTAGAACCATACTACAGCTATATTAGTGGTATAGTCGTAGCAGGAATGGGTCGGCTCGACCGGGGAAGGACCACGCTCTCACAGAATACCAGCGTCAAATAGTAGCTTAATGCTGCTGTGTTTCGTATGGTGAGTGTGGAGAACCGGAGACCCTTTTTACTGGAAACGAGGCATTCCATCTTAGTCCTCACGGGTGACAACGAATCTGCATTTTGATTCGTAATCGAGGATAGATGTAGATGTCTACGGGCCACAGCAACCACTTACCATCAGGTGGACTGTGTGCTCGTTTGTCACCCTATCCTATAAAAAAAGTATGGTACGATAAGACTGACCTATCCTTGTGGGATAAAAGCGTTTTTAAACAAAGAAAGATAATAAAAAAAGCTAAAGCTTATTGCTTTTTATGACCTAAATAATATTATGTAACTACCCAGGGGGGGGGGGGGAGATCCTAAATAGGACAATAAACTTATGATGGTGGTGGGTTTTCTTCTTTCCATCTTAACAAACAGGGTTCTTTTTTGTATTCCGTTGTTCTAACCTACTTTCATGGATCCTTGCATTTAATTGGACCCAATATTAAAAGGAAGTCTTCACTCTCAATCTCCATTCGGAACTTGTAATGCGTCAAATGCTTGAAAGTTGAAATTTTAAAAATCAACCGAACAAATACAGTCACACACCTATTTTTTAAATTTATTGACTTTGTGACGCTTATCAAAGCACCTATTATACTAATTTAATTATCACGGTCATTCCCTAGTGTAACGTCCCTGAAACGAACGAACTTCGACGCTTTGTTTCTCGACCGCCCACCGCTGGAGGTCGCCTTCATTGCACCATGTTGAGGCACGATGACGAGGAAGCAGGCGCCTACACCTTGTATCTGGAACACCTCGGCGGTCTGGTGCCGCTTCTTAAAGGCCGGCGGACCAGCAAGATACGCCCAGAGTTCGTTATTTTTGATCCCCAGGCTGAAGGTATTATAGTATATTCACATAATTATTTTTGACATTAACTCGAATTCCACTAGAAGTGTGCAGTATGTAAAAATGTTTATGATCGCACTGCTAATATTATTGCATATACGTTACATTAGTATTGCATTACATTTAAAAGACCACAAATCCTCGCAAAAGAACACCGATGATGATTGACACCATGGATGATTCGCATAGCTATTAAAATTTAAAATTTCCCGATTTCAATAGAAAAGATGGCTGATTCTGCTTGGAATGCCATAATTAATAAAATTAAATCAAGAATACTACGGCAAGACTTCAAGATACTATAAGTTCGATCTACGAAGATCTGATCAAAACGAAAAGAATTTTAAAAGCTGAAAGTAGATCTAGTAGTACTGCGCTCGAAACGTCTGGAATTAACAATAAATTCAATAAGGAAAATTTCACGCGACTTTTTTCGGCTGTATCATCACTTACCATCATATAGATAGTTTACAAATACTTTTGAATTCAATATATCATTTCCACAAAAATAGTCTAAGGACTACCGACTACGATCGTGTAGTTGGACGTGCTTCCCGTGTACTGGCTTCTTTGTATAATATGCCAGTTACCATCAGGTGGACTGTAAGTTCTGATGATGAATGGCTTTATCTGTCACATCAGTTTACGTATGTGAGAGATACGTGGTAGAGCCATGAAACTATATTATGGTTGTAGCACGAATGGGTCGCCGGGGTAGGATCACGCTCTCATGGGATACCAACGTAAAACAAAAGCTCAATGCTGCTGTATTTCGCATGGTGAGTATAGAGAACCAGATACCCTTTTGACTGGATACGAGGCGTTTTATCTTAGGGTGACAACGCATTTGCATTTTGATTTTTAATGGAGGACAGATGTAGATGTCTATGGGCATTTATACCATCAGGAGGGTGAATGCTCGCTTGTAACCCTTATTCTATAAAAAATAAAGTTTTATATAAAAAAAAGGAAACATAACCCATAATAAATTACAGTTTTAAAAAAGTAAAGAACACATCTAAAAATAAAATTATTTTATATTTTTTCTTGTTGACCCTTATGAGGATATAGTTAATAAATTATTGCATTGTCAACATTCCTTGATACGGGTGCAAATTGTCAAGTCCATCGGCCGTCTACAACTTGTAGGTGAAAATTATATTAAAAGATTCCGTTACATAGATAGTAGCAATACGCGACGCTGACAAAAGCATGTTAAAAAAGCGAAGTAATATGCAGAGGGCAAGGAAGGCGTGCGTGAGCAGCAGCAGCAGCAGCAGCAGCGGCGCGGGCTCGTGCGGCGGCAGCATCGGCAGCGGCGCCGCATCGCCCGCGCCCGGGCCGCGCTCGCCGCGCACCCCGCGTCCCGCTCGCCGCGCGCGCCCCCTCCCGCCACACAACTCCTCCTGCTCCTCCGACAGCGAGCGCGAGGACGGTGAGACTTTACATTTTTTCAAATGTGTGCGTTAAGGGGAAATATTAAAAATACTACCTCAAATGGCTTAGCAAGATCCTCCGTTATGTCGAAAATATTGCAGCATTAATTTTGAAATAAATATATGGTAAATTTGAGGATTAATGTTATGTACTGTCAGAAAAAAACACGATTCCGTAAAATTTTCTCGATAGAAAAAAAAATCAAAATTTACCTCCAAACTGAACAATAAACCGCTGTTAGTCATAAAATACTTTAAATTAGATCATGAAACTGCATACTAACTATAAATAAATTACCATTATTTTCACTGTAAAAAGAAATTACCTAAACTATCGGCGTCTTGATCTCGAAGCTTGTTTCCTGCCGCCCGGTTAGTCTCGCTTTGACTTTTGAATGGGGCAGCTGTGTCACTTACGATCAGAATACACATTACGCAACAGGACGATGTAAAATTAAAATGGGAAATAACTGTAATAAAAATAACAAGCGACTGCGTTGGCGTAAAGAAACATGCAAAAACATGATTAACCTAATGAAATAAGTATCTAACGACATATCTACATACGGTATTAGAGATTACAAAGATGTTGGTACATAGCATACGACGCGAGGGGAAGTGGGGGCGAAATTAGAATTTGAGCTGAGTTACTATATCCTCTTAATTTTTGTATGTGTATTTTTTAATTTTAAATGTATATTAATTTCATATGTGTATCACATGATTAAAGATTTCATCTCTTTATACAGGGTTATTTTGCAAAAAAACCGCCAAATTTGCAGAGAAGATTCAGAATAATTATATAAAATGGCAAATGGTGAAGACAAATTAATTAAAAAAATCTGAATTATTTTTTCCTTTTATCCTTTAATTTAAAAATGCGTGTAAATCCATTATTTTAAATTATTTTATTGCGTACGCACACATTCGTAAGGGTCGATTGGCAAAAACGTTGTTGCCCATAAACCACAATCGATTTGGGATAATTTCAAATAAAATTAGAAGCCTTATTTACTCGTACTTTCAAAGACTGCAATAACCGTATATCAATATCTACATATGAACTATGTATATATCTATATATTTGAACCCAACTTTAAAATTTGGCAACTACTAAGTTTAAAATAAACCTGTATATTTTTAGTGAGTGAAAAGTATCCGAAATCGGGATTTTTAAAACCTTTAAAATTAATATTTCCGAAAATATTGACTTTATCATTAACTATCATAGGACCTTTTTATTCCAGAATATAAAAACATATCTTTTATGTTTTCTTTTTTTTCTTTACATGTTTAATTAATGAGTCAAAAGTATCAATTTAGTAATCATAACTTTGTAAATATTAATTTTTTGGTAAAAAGTCATAGAACCTTTTTTATTCGTAATTTATCAAAAATATTTAAAAATAGTTTTCATATTTTATTCTTTTTATTTATGTATTTTAATGGGTTAAAATTATCCGACTTTGTGATTTTTCAAACCTTTAAAAATATGTAACTCCGAAAATGATCTAAAAAATTAAAGGGTCTTTCTTATTCATATTTCGTAAAATAATATAACAAACTAACAATTTTAAAACCCGTTTGAAAATAACAATTCCTTGCAATTGAAAAAATAATCGGTTTAAACAATATGGCACCGAGTTGCCCCACGACAACATGTATTTATATCATCAGTGGGACAATTGGAAGAGAATCGCATAAAAAATTGAGTTGCAATAGTTTTCGGTACTCATGCACCGATTCCTTTTGGACTAAATATAGATATAACTGTCATTTATTGAACTGAAGGAGTTACTTGCATGTCATTAAGACTTGAATAACAAGTTATTGTCTGTCTATCGTTCCAGGCTAAACTTAGAAATGTCTAAACCGATTGTAAAGAATATTAACGAACAGTTAGTGACGTGGAAAATACGTCATTTGTTGCATCTTTTGTTAAGCCTATACAAGCTGATAAAGATATTTTTCATATTGTAAGTCATGTTGCTGTACTTTTACTATAATAGGTTGTTCAGGATCTCCGAGGCTACAAAGGCGCAGACGAGCTCGTGAAAGACGTAAGGCTAGAAAATCCGGTGAAAAAGATGACACTCCTGATGAACTAGCATATATCGATTCTTTACCTGAGGTAATAATATAAAATATGATGTCAAATTTTGTCTTTAAAGACCGAATTTTAATGCATTTTATTACGTTTTTCAGGATGTTCGCTTAGTAGAAGTTACGTCCAATATTTGGGGCACAAAGTTCAAAATGCACGGGCTAGCTAAAAACGTTCCTGCTAATTTGGGTCAAGTTACATATAAGACTTCCTTGCTGCACTTGCAGCCTAGACAAATGACTCTAATGATAACTGAGCTAAGAGACGATTACCCAGTTGGGCCTGATCCTAATTTTAATCCTAATATATTTTCTGAGGATGAAGAGGAAGTATTTCAGTCAAACGATTCAAATTCATCATCACACACAAATAATAATATCCGAAGAAAATTAACAATTAACGATAGAATCAATAATACAAATAATTTAATAACGCAAAACGAAGCATACACTGGCAATAACAATAACATCAATTCGTCTATAGCAAGAACTGAATCCTATGATGAGTTTCCGTATATTGATACGAATGATGTGAACAACGTATCTGAGAGTGTTTACTCTACCCCAGTCCGGCACACGACTCAAGCTGCTGAGAGAAGGGTAAATAACACAGCCAGTGTAGCAAATCGTCATGCTATTTCTCCTTTACGTTGCGAAAGTTCTGTTCCTACTTTGCAGTCACCTAAAAATGCAGTGGCACCAACAGATATAATTTTTGAAAGACCCTCACCACAATCCGTCACTTGTGGAGGTCGTGGCGATTTTTGCGGTGGTCGAACAGACTATAGTGTTCGTGGCGATAACGTGTCTTTAAAAGCAAACATTTCGAATATCGAACAACAGACGTTCAACTTGAATCTTAGCATAGAGCCAAGTAGGCAGGTTACTATTAAAAAGTGCGACAACCATGTTTCCGACAATTGTCTATCGAAGTTGCGGAAAAATATCTGTAGTAGGGGTGAATCCGCATCCTATGAAGTTAATACTCGTATATTAAAATCTTTATGTAATAAAAATTTCGAACACGAGGTTCATCCAGATGCTATGACTAGACGCTCAGAAAATTTAAAGAATCTACAAAAAAGTGAAGATTTAAAATTCATTGATGAGGAAACTCCCATCGAAAATACAATAAAAAATTTAGCCGAAAGACCAAGAGAAATGAGGGTTCAGAGAACAACCACAGTAGTACCTATCAGTCCTGTATGCGCAAGTGTGCCCGTGTACGATACAATGACGCGAAGTTGTAGTGTAGGTTACTTAGATATGGTCGATCCTCAAGTCCTACGTGCGCATAGCTTGACCACACTTCGTGGCGAGCAACCACGACGACTTGTGCTAGTGAATAACAAACGCCATAGAAAAGCGAAGCGACATTTCAGAGCGAATGACATCAAGCAATTAGAAACCAAGACGCCCAGTTTGAAAAAGTGCGGAAAATCGAGAAGCCTAGATTCTGGTGAACTCTCAATAACGGTCGAAAAATGCAAGCGACACTTGCGGTCTGATTCGAACCAGAAAAGCGATGCATTGTCAGTGAATTCCAGCAGTCGGTGTAACAGTACAGCAGAGGATAACAGTGGGACCAGTACAGAGGAAGGTGGAAGGATAGGATGTAGCTCTCGCCGGGATTATCCGGTGTGCACGAACTGTCGGTTGGTATCGCCGTACGACCGACGGGCCGTGGAGGCCGCGTCGTACGTGTGCGTGGCCTGCAGCGCCGCGCCGCCCGCCGCGCTCTCGCCTGCCCCCGCGCCACCCCCACCGCCGCCCCCGCCGCTCAACACCGACAGCGACTCCGACTACAGCAAGTATTATAGTTAGTACGATAGTAGATGCTTTTACACCCGCCCGAGATACTTCCATCGGTGAGATACACCCGAGTCAACTCGGAACTTTGCTAGATGCGTTCTTTCTACAAAAGTTGTGCTTTGCAAACACGCATGATTAAATGACGCCAAAACTCAAGCTACGAATGACTTAAACACTTTTGGCAAGCTTCATTAGATTCCAAAGCAACCCTCAACACTTTTCTATGCAATCGCCTATGTAGATTAAATTGAAACAAATTAAAGCGATATTCCAGCATATCGGAGTATGGGCATGGTAATTGGTTAGTTATCTCTTTCTTCTAGCTAAACGAAGACGACATTAAAAACATTACTTGAAGCCTTTTGATTAGGTAAAGAAAACTTTTCATTGCACGCTATAATTATTCAGTATTGAAAAGAATTGCGATAGTTCGTTAACTTGAATATCTGCTTTGGTAAATTTACATACATTACCGAATGTATAATTTGTTGTACTTGTAATATTTCAAACATTGAACTGTAGGAACCTGATAAAATGTAACTAGATGAGGCTACAGCATACGACTGAATGCTAATTTTGTTATTGTACCCTGACATGCTATTATTTTCTTTTAATTACCAAATTTTACAAATCATACATTCACAAATGGCACTTAAGTGAAATTGCCAAAATGGAAGCTTCCCTTCGTTTGGCATTGTTCACTATTATGTGTGCTATTCAAAAGCAACCGATAAGTACTTTTAGTCTTTTTTAAAAAGCCGGCAATGCACTTGCATTTCCCCTGATGTTGCAGTTGTTCATGACGGCGGTAGTCACTTACCATCAGGTGAGCCGCACGTTCGTTTGCCCTCTTTTATGAAAAATAGAATCATTTCTAACACAAACATTTTATCAAACTTAGTTGGGAATAAAACGCAATGCACCGTGTGGCTTTGCTGAGAGGCACATTTAAGTAGCAATTATTCACCAAATGTTAAAATGATAGTTTAGACCAGTGATTCTTAACCAGTGGTCCCTGAGGACACCCAAAGTGGTTTGCGAAGGCAACATACAATTCTTTTATATATAAAAAAGTGTAAAACATTTTTGGAGATGATGATGATCGGTTTGTGAATACCGATACGGTTTACAAGCTTTTAAATGCAACCTTACCATCATTTATATTATGCCTAAAATTTGGTGATTTAAGGTAAGTCGAAAATTTGTCACACGGTCCCTCATCCATTAAGGTTAGAGAACAGGAGAACGTTCGCCGTAGAAAATAGTGTCCCAGAAATATGGACACCATCAGTAAGGCGCTGCGATCACTAAGTGCAGTCAATAAAAGTCATTTTCAGTCTCTTTTTCCGATCAGATGCTCAACCATTTGCACATCCACGCACAATAAAATATTTCTCCATTTTTTAATGTTTCTTTTTGTCATAAATTACAAAATTACGGAGCATGAAAATTTTCTACGAAAAAATGAAATGAAAATTTGTACATTATTCAACTAACTTCACCTACTTGAACTCATAAACAGCTAACTTCGCTAACGTCACTACTCACCGACGTCAGCGCCGCTATGTATTCTACAATTTTCAAGGACAGGCGGGCTATGGTTTAGTACGTAGTGATCGTTCTCCTGTTCTTTAACCTTCATGCCCTCATCACTAAAAGGTTAAGAATCACTGATCAAATTGCACTGGCACGTCTTTATTGGTTTTGTTTTTACAAAGAAGCTTACGGGTTGGCCGTATGGCAGGTTCGCTGGAGCAGTTGGCGCTGCGGTTGCTGGCGGCGCGCGGTGCGCGGGGTGCTGGGGGCGCGCGGGGGACACGGGGCGTGCGGGAGGCGCGGGATGCGCGCGAGGTGAGCTCAGCGCCGGCGTCTCCGCGGCCGGCGCGCGCGCCCCGCTCGCAGCCTGCCTCCCCCGGGCCCGCCTCGCCCGCGCACCCCCGCCGACACCGCTACTCCTCCGCTTCGCCCATTCGGTAAATATATATAATTATTAAATTACCCACACTAGCTAATCAACTACCGCGTGCCAACGCACGATATTTTTCATTCTTCTAGGAATCAATAAGCGGTTGTCGATAAGTGACGCACCGCACGCGTCTGTCCCTAGCCCACCGATGATATATGGTACCGCGGGCAGCTCTCTGTCTCTCTTGCTAACCACGTAAAATAATTACCACCTACAATCACGAGGCACCCAGGGTAAATAAGCAGTCGGGGCTAGCCACAGAGTACCTTTATAGTACCTGGATAACCGAGCTTTGCTCGATATTTTTTGCAAACCGTGTTTTTAGAAATATATTTAGATACAATTTACATACTGATGAAATATGAATAATATTTTTCGATCTAACGACACAATAAAAAAAAACTGAACTGGTTATTTAAATAAAAAATCATGAGTGCAATTAGTTTAATTTAAATTTTCGTGTTTTTAAAAAAAATACTAAGAAAAGGGCTCGAAATAATAGATTTTCTCAAAAAAGAAGCGAACTTGGAAAAAAGGAAAAAGTCGGACCGAAGACAGATTTCAAGACCACCTGATATTACATTTGAGATATTATAATCGTTAACACGCTGTTTAAATTTACCTTCTCATTTTAACGATATTGTAGCAGTTTTTCATTGCCCGAAAGCATGGATAAAGAGACATTTTCTAAAAATGAATCGTAGCTAGATCGATTTATTGCCCCCGAAACCCCCTGGACACAAAATTTTATGAAAATCGTTGAAGCTGATTCCGAGATTCCGATTATATATTATATATAATCGAATCTATATAATATAAATATATATATATATATATAATATATATATATATATATATATATATATATACAAGAATTGCTCGTTTCAAGGTATTAGATATACTGATGGCTAGCGCGTTATAGGCGATTGAATGTTAAAGTATTGACTCTGTTTACATAAACAGATTTTTGTATACTTGTTGAAATAGTTTTTGTTTAGTGTTTAGTATATTTAATTATAGGATAAAATAGTTAAAAAAGTTTTAAATTAATTTAAAATTTATATATATTATGTACATTACCTATTTGATAAAATGTAATGGCAAACCGTCGTTCGTACTATAATTTTTGCGTGGATAGATGCTAAATGACCAACAAAAGGTTTCAGATATATATCATTCTTTAAGTTACGGAAGGATTTTAGTAGGCAGTCATAAAAATTAAATTTATTTAATTTTTTTGTTAAATAGGTATTTATAGCAAAAAAGAATTAAATAATAATTTATTTACAGAAGTAATACCTACTCGTATATATAATACGTACTTTATTACAAAACTTAGTTGAAACTATACTTGTCTTTTGTAATAAAATATTTTAAGTTATAATAAATAACACAAACACTGAAATTAAAACTTTATTTTCTAACAAGATTTTTAACTAAGTAGAATACGATCACATTTCTGTTAGAAATCGTGATCAGCAAGAGCCAAGCATCGCGATTCCCGACGAACGGTCTTGCAATTTGTATCCATTGGGCATCGATGAACTACATAGGTGCGATAATATAACGACATGTACCTGACCTAAGTAACTTAATTAACATTTCGAAATGTATTTTTTTACTCTTTACTAACATCCTTTAGTAATCACGAAAAATCCGCACGAAAAAAGTATTCATAGTAATACCACAGTATAATAAAGACATACAGCAGGACGACGCCTTTAATCTCTTGGTAAATGGCGACACCGTCTGGGCAACGTATGGAGGCTAGGGTTGCCACAAAAAAACAACTTTAATTATTATTTATTTTAGATGTGCATCGCCATCAACAGTCGTCGGTTGGTAAAAGCAACGTTTATATAGCGGTTTTCTTCAGTAATTTCTTTCCCTGCATACTCTTTTCGATATGCAACTGCAAATGTATATATTCTTTAGACTTTCTTCCACCTATAACTTGGATCTGAAAATTTTAAATTCAATGGCTATTAATAAATTTTCATAAATGTCACCCCGAGAAACCTCAAAATGGATTTCGAAATAGATTCTATTTTCCCAATCAGCATCACAAGACACCTCGAAATTGATACCCATTAACTCAATGCCCTTATCATATTTTTTTTAAATCTTGAATATGAAATTGAATAGCGTTTTTTTAATCATCGCCCCGAAAAATCCCAAAGTTGATATCGATAACATTAAAAAAAATATGGCTACCATCTTGTATTTGAAAATATATGACATTTTCGTAATCAACACCTCAAGAAACCTCGAAATTGACATCCATATCATACATATTATATTAAAAAATGACCGCCATCTTGGATTTAAAAATAAATGCTATTTTCGTAATTATCACCCCGACAAACCTAATAATTGACCCCCCTAAACCTTAAAATTTTATAAAAAAATTCGAAAAACCGAGGACGAGACACTATGGTATGGTCTAAGAGAGCCTGTCCAACCACACGATTTGGATGAACAAGAAAAAATCAAACTTCGAAACACAGCCCAGCGACTAGTACCAATTTTTTGTGTCCGCATGACATAACAAAATATACACAATTTAAAATAATAATAACAATATTTATTTACCTTTCCTTGAGCTGACCCCAAATAAAGCGACAAAGCAAGGAAGAAGAAGAAGATTTATTTACCTTTCCTCCGTGTGCGGAATTTGGTGAAATCGCAGATCCTTATTTATGCGAGATGATGACTTACAATCTCTCAAAGCACACGTCTTATACACCATTTTAATTATGAGTAACTACACTAAATTTAACAATAATAAAAGCAAACACGTGTTAACCCTGAAAGTCGTGTCCCGAGCTACTAATAAGATTGGCATAAGCAACTGGGGCTCGTCCTTCCCGCGTGTCTGACTGTATATGGGCCACAGCATCCATTTACAATAAGTTGGGCTGTATACTCGTTTGTCACCCTTATTCTATAAATGTCGTTCGTCTGTACAGTGTAACAGGGCTTACTGCGGTGACTCAGTTGCCTCAGACGCAGTGTCTTTATCCTGACGATGCCGCATATTTACCGTGACAGAATCACTGTTAGACACTCGTGTGGGTTGACAAAAGCTCGTTTTTACACGACTCTCAAGATCCTATAGAAGGCTCTTGCCATCTTTTTCGATTATTTATACTTATCTTTATCGGACATATACACCATTTCATTCTAGCATTGAACTTTACTTATCTAACCTATTATTGATACATTTTAACAGTGGTTAATCCATTATGTAAACATTAATAAAAGTGCTTAAATTGAATGAAAACGATCTTAATACTTTAATTCCGACATATACATAGCCGATTGTCATGTAATGCATGACTCTAAGTTAACAAAAATACAAATATCCTTATTTCTCTCAGAAATTAGCATTTTATAAAATTAACATAAACTTGACGTTTATCATAAGTGAAAAGTTTATCTGGCGTCGCCAACAAAAGTGTTTTAACTGTTTGCGACGGTTGTTCGTTCAGATAAAACCCTGTATTATATACTATTCTCCGCAGACAACTATTAAACTCACCCCTGCTAAATAGAAGACGGAACAAGAAACCTTCGGAAAGCTCGGACGATGAGTACTCTAATGGCGGCTACAGCGAGGTCAATAGCAAGAACTACAGAGACTTGGAGAGTTTCCAAAAGGCTCAACTCAGAAATAAGGTACTGTAACAATGTTAATAATTAATTATATTTTATGTATTTTACACATTTGAATTTTATTGACATACTTAAACATTAGTACCCGGATGACCGAGCTTTTGCTCGGTTTTTTTTTTTTGGAAATTACATTTAGATACAAAATACAAATTACATACTGATGAATAATATTTTTTGATCTTATTGACATAATAGAAAAAACTGAACTGGTTATTTGAATAAAAAATCATGAGTGCAATTAGTTTAATTAAAATTTTCGTATTTTTAAAAAATACAATAAAGGGCTCGAAATAATAGATTTTCTCACAAAAGAAGGGAACTTGAAAAAAAAAGGAAAAAAATTCGGACCGAAGACGGGGAATCAAGCATTACGATTTCGCGACCGCTCGATAGCCACTTGAGCTATTACGATCATTAACACAGTGTCAAAATTTACCTTCTTATATTGTAGCAGTTTTTCATTGCCTGAAAACACGGACAAAAAGACATTTTCTAAAAATAAATCCTAGCTAGATCGATTTATTGTCCCTGAAACTCTCCGGACACTAATTTTTATGAAAGTCTATGGAGCCGTTTCCGAGATTCCGGTTATATATATATATATATATATATATATATATATATATATATATATATATATATATATATATATATATATACAAGAGTGGCTCGCCTAAAGAAACCTAATAACAAACGTAAAATTTAAGAGCACGGGTTTGTGAACGGGTCATTAAGCCACCTTCACAGATTTATTTTTTAATTAATATACTGAAAGTTGTCATTTTGTTCTATTAGACCTCGACATGGTCATGTAAGTTTGATTGTTCACTTGTCGATAAAATATACTAAAATTAGTACATTAGGGATCTCTTACATAATACAATAGTTATTAACTCTCGACTGTAACGAACTTTATTTCGATTAACATGTTTTAAAATTCTTCCTGTTTTGACTCTGACCTCCACCTCGTGCTCTTATCCAAAGCCTCGAAAACTTTCAGCTCGAGTTACAAAATCGTTTTCACTTGCCTAGAACACTGCAATGAAGTGGACGATATGAATGACAAGCTGTGGAAACTGTCCATGCATTCGGAGCTAAGTTCTGTAAGACCCATCGCAAAAAAACACAAACTCCGATGACACTCTTAATCTCGTGACGGGAGATGAAGCTGCAGTCTTCAGCAGATTTAACAGCATACAGGCAACTGAACAGACAGATCTCCAAATGCATGTGACGGGACTTACGAAACTTACTTCTTAAGAAACTTTTGAAATGTGGAGAAGAGGAACTATTCGTCGGAGGGGCCGTTACCAGGAAATCTGTATAACCTTAAAAAGATTGTTCTTCTGCCGAGATCGGAAACGATTGTGCCAGTTAGTCTCCCTCGGAATCCTGGGCAAGCTCTTCGTTGTGTACTCGTGGAAAGGGTAGACAGTGACCTTCCATGTAAAGTGGCTTGAACCTTGGTCAGAACCACTGACATCTCAGGAGTACGTGATGGACCTTTGTGATCAGAAACAGATTATCGATAAAGGCACACTGGTTGGTACGAAAGGAAGTGGATTAGTTGTATCGGTACCAATATCTATCGAGAGAGTAACCACACTTTTAAAAGACTGTCGCAGCGTTCTCTCCCCGAATGAAACAGTCAAGGCGAAGAAGTTGTTACTCAAGTATCCCGATGTTTTAGCGTCATTTGAAAGACTGGCTTATTTCAACACAAAATAAATACAGGAGAAGAATTGCCTATCCGTCAGCGGTCAAGAAGATTGTTGGTAGCACGTGAAAAGGAATTGGAAACCATGATTGAGTTAATGGTGAAAGATGGTGTTATTGAACCTTCATCTTGTCCATGGCGTTCACCTGTGGTGCTGGTAACGAAGAAGAACGGCAGCATGCGGTTTTGTGTTGACTACCGCCATCTGATTGAGTTACGAAGAAGGACAGCTATCGCTTGCCAAGAATTGATGACACGCTGGACATGCTTACAGGAGTAAAGTGGTTAACACGCTGGACCTGAAAAGTGGCCACTGGCAAGTTGAAATTGACCCTAAGGACAAGGAGAAAACTACATTCTCGACAGGAAAGGGTCTGTAGCAATGTAAAGCAATGCCGTTTAGATTGTGCAATGCTCTGGCAACGTTTGAAAGGTTGATAGAACTTGTACTTACCGGGCTAATTGGCGATGCCTGTCTGGTCTACTTGGATGACATCATCATCGTAGGCCTTACGTTTGAGGAACACCTTCAAAATCTGGAAAGCGTGCTCGTGAAGATCCAGAGTGCCAACCTCAGAGTCCGAATAAATGTTCACTATTCAAACGGTAAGTTAGCTTCTTGGGGTATAGTCGGGAGAAGGTATCCGCACGGATCCAGAGTAAATCGCCGCTGTCAAGCATTAGTCGATTCCAAAAGACAAAACGCAGGTTACAGCATTTTTAGGTTTGTGCTCATATTATCAGCGATTAGTGAAGAACTTTGCACAAGCTAACCGAAGAGAAGCGACATTTCTGCTGGGATGAAAGTTGCGATGTCGCATTCCAGGAGCTAAAGGACAGACTGTTCAAAACAGCAATTTTGAGATACCCTGATGCAGACAAAAAATTTATAGTTGACACAGACACCAGTGATATAGGACTTGGTGGTGTGTTGTCTCAACGGAATGGTGATTAAGAGGTTGTGATTGTGATAGCGTACTTCAGCAAGTAGTTATCAAAGCCGGAAAGAAACTATTGTGTCACAAGACGGGAATTGCATGCTGTGGTAAAGTCGTTGCAGCATTTTCACAAATATCTTCTGGTGCAGAAATTTTACTTACGAACTGACTATGCTGCACTGAAATGGCTATTGCAGTTCAAAATTCCAGAAGGAAAAGTTGCGAGATGGATTGAACTACGGCAGGAATACGACTTTATGATTGAACGACGAAGCGGCAAATCTCATGGCAGCGCAGATGCATTGTCAAGAAGACCTTGTCCTCAAGATTGCAAACATTGTACTAGGCAAGAGAATAAGTAAGTGGTATCTGTGAGGATGCGCAGGACAGACCACCTTAGCAACGAATGGAAGGACAGACTACAACATGCACACCAGGAAGATTTGGACATCAAGCTGATTATGGAATGGATGAAGGCCACTTCTCCCAAGCTCAAGTGGATCGACGTCTCAGAGATGAGTTCGACCACGAAAAGCTATTGGGCTCAATGGGACAGCTTGCTGCTTCAAGATGGAGTTCTGTGCCGTATATGGGAAAATGGTCGAGGAGATAGTTGTCATTTGCAAATGGTTGTCCCTCAAGCTAAAGTACCGGATGTTCTACAGCTTGTAACGCTTCCCCCCTCTCATAACAATAAATATATAAAATACTAAATGTATTATATTCCCCTTTATATTAAAAATTATATATATGTGACCAGGATAAATAAAATATGTTTTGATCTTTCTAAATGATCTTTCAAAAGGTTTATTAATAGGCCGGTTTTAATATTTTGGCGTGATCGTCTTAGTTAGGACCCTTATTTACGTTGTGTTTGTTTAGTAACTTAGTTCTTTTAGGTGTATTTTGGAAGGAATGAATATTCACTAGAGCAATTGAAAGCTGTTGGTAGTGCCTTATAAGCTAAGTGAACCCCGTTCACGAAGACAGGGCTCGAAAAAGGATAAGAACATAAAACGTCCCTATTCCACTTGCATCAGGTTTACATTATTAATTATCCCTTCCCGCTCGGAAAAGGCTCAAAATATATTTATACAAAATACCCGATACAAGGGCTTCGCTTTCCTACATTTATTTAAAAAAATGTAGGGGAGGTACACGGCCCCACACACGCCGTGTACGGTGAGTGCCAACCATTTTGATTGGCACTCCCCCCGGGACACGCGAATTCGGGAACTGGACCGTAGTCCACAGCAAAATAACTGGCGAACCAGTAAAAGAGGCTTGGCCCCTTGTTAGTGCGTAAGCACAAACATCGACCGAAGTCGCGCATGTCAATGCGTGAAAACGCCATACAGAATACGAACGAATCCAGCCACAGTGAATGTACGTCACACGGTTTAGGCAAATAGGCACACTGGCCGTAAACCCTCCGTGAGCGCCACCACCTGCCAGACCGCCGCTCCTGCAGACGTGATGTAAGTGTATGGAATCACCACCAATTCCATGATCAGCACGGCTACTAGCCGCTAGTACTAGTGTGTAGCGTGTCATGAGTCTACCGCTCACCTCAAGGGAATGGGGTCCCACGTTGTGCGGCTTTCGGCCGCAGCCTTGAGAGTCTCCTCAGATCCTCCCGCCAGCTACCACCCGCATGAGGTCGACACATATGCTCCACCAACCAATACAACGGCAGATATAGCCAAAAGGCAGTTATAAGATAAGAGTAATAATTCGCCATCAGAAAGGGTTTGTGTCACTGACGTTGAGTAAATGCATTTTCGATCATGTTTGTCTCACCCACCGACAAGTTGCCTTCAATCATTCAAAGTTGGGAAAGTTACAGAGATATAATATTATGTTGTTATATAAAACATCGTGGAGGGCAGACAGTCTGCAGCCCCGTAATGAAGGGACCCGAAGGGACTTGGGCAAAGCTACTCAGGTTTGAGTCAATCCAAGACGCAGAGAGCGCCATTGAGAATAGCGTCCCACCAAACAACCATCGCAGAGACGCAATGCTGCAGAACGCAACATGCATCAATACGACTATCGTCGGGCTTACACCATTCCAAGGTCCCCCATGCATCCCAGCAGACATCACCACCTGCATACCTCCATCGACCAGAACCACAAGAGTGCATCGAATCGGGCGCAGCACACCCGCAGATCCATCACAAGACGCAATATCGGAAGTAGCAGTAAGCATCAATGCAACTATCATACGGATGGCGCCCCCTCACAACACACCCACATGACCCCTATCGACTTTGGTAACAAAGTTTGTATTGTTCTTATATAAAAAATATCACCAACGTATCATAGTAGCACGCTACCAAGACGCCAAT